TTTGTTGTACGTAGTTAGTAACCTATGTGTGTGTGTGTGTGTGTGTGTGTGTGTGTGTGTGTGTACGTACATAACACCCCCCATCTTCTTTATCCATTCATCTATCGATGAACATTTAGGTTGTTTTCATGTCTTGGCTATTGTAAATAGCGCTGCTATGAACATTGGGGTGCATGTATCTTTTTGAATTAGAGTTTTTCTATAGATATATGTCCAGAATGGGACCACAGGATCATATGGCAATAACACCATTTTTTGTTTTTTAAGGAACCTCCATACTGTTCTCCACAGTGGCTGCTCCAACTTACTTTCCCACCAACAGTGTACTGGTTCCTTTTTCTCCACACCCTTAAGACTTGAGCTTTTAATATGGCATCCAAAGCCTTTCACAGCCCCTTACCTGCCTTTCCAATCTTGCTTGTGTTCCAGCTCACTCAAACCCCTATGGCCTTGACCTACTGAACCAGGCTCTACTCCGTGAAAACATCAACCTTCTGTACATGTACATTCTCCCTTCCCATCAGAGACATCTTTCTCTCCTTAACCTGGTATAAACTCATGCATCACTTTAAATTCAACTCCAATGTCATCTTCTCTTTACATTCTCTCCTGACCCATGCAGCCTCAGGTCACCACTTCCTCACTGACTTCCATGGGTCTGTATTCAGTGTTTACACAGGTGTGGTTGAAATTTACAACCATCGCCCTCATTATTACATCACTGGGTGCCTCCATGTCTAGCAACAGGTCTATTCGTGTCAGTAGTCTATCACTTAGGAACCCTCAGGGAATTGCTCAATAAATACACATATGCTAACTGGTTGACAGATTTGGTCACCCTAATTTCCACAGGGCTGGAGACATACGTTCTTCCGTCTACCACTATTTCAGATTACAGATGACATTTCTAGAAGATGCCACATTAATCTCTTGGCATCCGATCCAAATCACAAGCCTAGTAAGAGGTTTCCAAAATCACTTACCAATGAATTATGATCAGCTTCTTCGTAGGGATTTTTTGCTCTCCAAGGTAAATGAGGACACCAATTTTCAACCTGAAAAATATAAATCAGAGACACTAAGCATGCTGGTTCATCTGTAAATGAATTAATGTCTGTACAAAGCCGAGTGCAGTTCCTGGTACATAGGAAGTGGGTTAAGTGAGTTATTACTATTATTAGACTCCCACGCTTTTAGCTAACAATCCAGAGACAGGTCCCCTCTCAGATGAAGCAATAATCAGCCAAGGTCCCAAGCGGCATATGATTACACTTTATATCCGTCCTTCAAAGTACTTCCCAGGGACTGATTCCTTAATCATTTAATCCTTGTACTTCTACACAGGAGGCGGGGGGTGGGGTGTCATGTCAGAAAGTTAAAAGACTTGAACATTGCCAATGGGAAACGGGAAACGGGAACGTGCCTCTATACTGTTTAGCAAAAGGACAGGAACGACCCATTATCTGCTGTGGTGTGTCTTGAACGGACACAGCTCGTCCTCATCTGAGCCACAGAACGCCATCATTCATCTCTGAATTAGGAATGCAGCCAAGAGTTTAAGGCTAACTGGTCAAGGCTTCCCCCCATTTTCTGGCTGTTCACTTCACACTAACTCAAGGAACAAGGATAATAAAACCTATTGGAAAAGGAGATGAGAGAGAGGGAAAAAAAAAAACCCTCAGTGATCTTGTAAGAGTCATTCTGGAAGACGGATTGTTCTGTCCCTGCACCAGAGTTTAGAGAGCTGAGGGAGGAGGGAAGAGAAAGGGAAAGTGCCAGATTTTTATGGGAATGACTTCAACAAAGGTTACTGAAGACAATTGGGCAAATTTACACTTTCTAGTAGAGGAGGAATAAAAAAGTGCACTGAGTGATATAGATACCTGGACGCTTTGTCAAAACGGGACATGTAATGCCAAGCTAGCATATCACCCATCTGCTAATACATGAGATTATTAAAGATGGCTAATCAACAGGCACTGGAAAGAATGTTTCTATAGCCAGGTGGACCTATAAAAATGAACACAGCAAGAGAGCAGGGTTGGGGGGCATCCCTGGTGGGGGTCACTGAGGAGGCAGGGAGGTGAGTGAGGTCAGACCTCCTGGGTCAACAATGCAGAATCAGACAAGCTGGTTGGCCTCCGGCTCTGGGTGAGTTTTCAAGGAAACAAAGCGGTTTCACTCACCTAGAAATAACTCTTAAAGCAAGGTGATTTTTACTGGGACTCAAAATAATTGGGCGATTTGCATAAAGCCCTCTTCCACTGCAAACGATCTGAAAGCAGATGCAAAGGGCAGCAAAGCCTGGGGGAGGGTGGAATCCCCAGAAAGGAGAAGGGCAATA